TCCCCCGTGATGTCATATCCGCCTCAGAATCATGGTCTGAATCGCACCCTCCCCCAAATGGTTTGAGTCTGGGCTAAAAGTGTCGGTGCAGGAATCTGTGAATGACGTCATTTCCGCCCCACACACAATGGTTTGAGTCTTGACTAAATGGTTTGAGTCTGGGCTAAAAGTGTCGGTAACATGTCGGTGCAGGGATCTCTAGTTAGAACCGGCACTGCTTATCTACTATTTTTCTTTTTGGAAAACGCCAGGCAATAAATTTTTAAGAATACTGTGCATTTTTTAAATTTCTATTTGTTTAAATAAATTATTATTATTGTTATTAATTACTAACTTGTTACATATTGTACCTATAGAGAGGTGTATTTGTTTCTAATTTTGCAATTTACCGGACCTTGCATAAATACCAATGCAGATTTAAAACATAATTTAAAAAATGTACAGTATTCTTACAAATTTATTGCCTGGCATTTTTCAAAAAGAAAAATTGAATTCAGTTAAAATTTACGAATTGTAGGTAATTTTGAACATTAGTTTGTATGTTGAGTATAGCCTGAAAATGCGCTTTTAACGATTGCGCGCAAGGACAAAAAATTCAATATCTCCTAAAGTTTCAGACCCTCCATTAATTTTTTTTTTGGAAAATACTCGTGAAATTAGTATAGGAATCGAATCATTGTTATTAAAAGCAAAAAAAATTGCACTTTTTAAAAAATTGTTTATTTAAAAATTATTTTTTAACCCTTTAATGGCCAAGTTTTTTGCCGTTATTATAATTGTACAATGTTTAGTAAATTCGATTATTCTATTATTCAATATGAGAAAACAGTTTTTTTAACATGTTCGACCCCTTAAAACCACCCCTAACGTATATTAGGTACTACCCAAAAAAATTGATAATTAATCTAGGTGATAAATTAAATATTTTTTAGCTCCTGTCTGCTTTATAATTATTTATAAATATTCTCTGGTTGTTCAAAAATGAAAAATAATTATAAATAACCACTTGAACACCACCCTCCAAGTCAAATAGCCACCCCTGGACGATAATAGTTTTTGTTAATATTTAAAAAAAATCGATACATTTTAAATGCATCTAAATTATAAAAAAGTGTTTCTAAGTGACACAAATATGGATAATAATCACACCCCCTTAGAAACACCCCCCTTAGAACCCACCCCTATTTCATAATTATTCTTACATACTGTCAATAGTTTTGAACAATTAAAAAAATAATTTTCATTGATTCTATACGTTTCGAAAATACGAAAAAATATTTTTATGATGACTAGGTAATGATAGTAAATATAAACTAAAAAAATAACACAGATATGGATAATATTAATAAGTACCCCCGTCAAAACCACCCCTATTGCATAACAAGATTCAGGCGAATCTGCTAATTTTTTATTTTTATGTCCGCCATATTGGATCTGCCATTTTGAATTTTTAAAAACTGACATCGGATTCGTAATAAGCGACCCCGAAATCCCCGGGTCACAAATTTTATGCGAATTTGGTAGATTTTTAAATTTATCGTCCGCCATATTGGATCCGCCATTTTGAATTTTTAAAAACTGACATCGGATTCGTAATCAGCGACCCCAAAAACCCCCGAGTAACAATTTTTAGACGAATCTGATGAGTTTTTAATTTATCGTCCGCCATATTGGATCCGCCATTATGAATTTTTGAAAACTAACATCGGATTCGTAAACAGCGATCCCGAAAACCCCCAAGTAACAAATTTTAGTCGAATTTGATAGATTTTTAAATTGTTTCGTTTTTTGGGGTAGTTTTCATTAATTTTTTTTACCCTGAGGTAAAATTTTGTTATTAATTTTTTTTCACAAAGTTTACAATATTCTAAAACATATTTTACTTTGAAAGCCGAAAAAAAAAATTTTTTCTTGAATTTATACCTTTTTAATTTTTGTCATTAAAAATTTTTTTTTTCAAATTTTTTGTGTCAGCAGGAGGTATAAGCTAACATATATCATAGTCAGTTTCTCAAAATTATCACTTACGTTAAAGAAATTTCAGTTTTACCAAAGTGCAATTTTATGATTTTTAAAAATGTTGGGGAATTGTGGGCCACTGCCTAAATTGAGTTCAAAATAAAAAATAACGATAAAATATATTTATTACATGGTTAGAAATATTAAAAATGTTTAATTACTAGTTTAAAATTCGAAAAGAAAAAGTAAGAAAATAAAATTAATCACAATCACAATTAATTAATTACAAATTTTTAAGTAAACAGCTTTATCGCATGAATCGCAATGAAACGAATGGTTTTTGTTAAATTACTATAACTATGAGTGATTTTAATAATATTTGCAATTAAATCTCCAAAAACAAGCAATAAATACTACCCCTAAAAAAAGTGGCCCACAATTCCCCAAATGCTTCATTTTACAAAAAGCTTTGTATTATTTATTCATTTTAATTTGATGCAAAGTTTTTTTTAGACTCAAAGTACCAATCCCACACAATAATTAAAATAATATTTTTCATAATTTATTCTTGAAAATCCTTGTAAAAACAATAAAAACATGAAGGTCCAAAATAAATATTTGAATGCAATTTTTCAGGTGATTTTTGTTTACGGTTTATATGTAATTATAAAGCGTTGTAAAGTAATGAAATGCTAATAAAAAATTTACTTTGGATGAACAAAAGAAAATAAAAAAAATTGGATGATCAAACTTATAAATATTATTAAATAATTGAGGTGGCCCACAATTCCCCAATCTCCCCTAGTATTTTGGAAAATGGTATTCATATGTAGTTGTTACTCTCGCTCACCCCTTGAAAATGAGACCTTAGCGGAGTTGATCCGTTAAGTTTTAAGACAGTTATGATTTTTTGAAGGAGGTGGTACGTATGTGTACCACTGGCCCTTAAAGGGTGAAATAATTTGTTTAAAAAAAATTTTTTTTATAAACTGTTTTCTTAAATTGTCTGTAAATAATAAACATTTCCTGAAAATTTCATTTATTTTTCTTTGAGATATATCATTTTCAAAATTAAAAAAAAAATTTAAAAACCTCGTAAATCCAATATTTTTCGAAATCAATTTTGGGCTTTTTATTGGCATGTATTCCACTTCAAAATTTCGAAGTTTCAACAAAATCGAATAAGTAGGGGACAACTTTGATTTTTTAGGCATGAACCTACCCACGTACAAAACAAAAAATTTGGTGGAATTATAATGACGTTTTTTATTGAAATAGGGAGTTTTAAAAATTTGTAAACTTGTGATTTATTTCACTTAGGGTGTCAACTTCAATATTCCGATGTGAAAAAGGATTTTAAATCTTACATAAATTTATTATAAACAATTTTGGTTGTGAATATCATGTGAGTGAACTGTGAAGAACTGTGAATATCACAGTGAGTGCGGTATCATTGAACCACCCGAAAAAGCATAGAATTTTTAATTTTAAGAGTGGTAAAGTTGTCTGCTCTATGTACTAATTAGTAAGAAAAATACTGAAAGACATGCTTTCATCACATTTGTCAACGTGATAAACTTAAACTGTCACTATTGTTACGTAACCTGACATCAAAATATATTAATCTCCTGTATTAACAAATAATACCTATTTTACAAATTTTCTATTTTTTTGAGTAGAAAATAAGACATTTTACAATGTGTAAGTGGAAATATTATTTTTGAAGTAAATTGTAGTGTTTTATTAGAGGTGGTTCAATGTAGACACACATCCTTCAAAATAAGAAAAGTGTAACTGGTTAGAAAAAAATTAAATTTAATTATTTAATCATAATATTTTTTGTTCGTAACGTGTGTATTAACTAAAGGAGTACTTCAGTTTTTGATGTTCTAAAAAGAATAATTTATTTTCAACACACAATAACTATTCCGGCAAATGCCACTATAGTGAAACCTGTCAACTTGGTTTTTAAAATTTGATTACAGTAAACAATCCTTAAAAAATTAATTTATGTATAATTTAATTTTGTCAAATTTTTATAATATTCTAGAACTAAGTGAAAATAATTCTTGTTGTACATTTTTAAATACAAAAAAAAAATTTAAATAGAGTTCCTAGTTTCTACTACTATATCAGGAAAATTTTGTCATGGCGCAAGAGTTGGAACAACAATTTAAAAAAATTGTTTAGTTTTGATTGCTTTAAAAATTATTTTTTGTATATTGGACAGGATTTCTTGGCGCAAAAAATTCTACTATACTTATTTTAAATTATTTAGTTTCGAATGCTTTAAAACTTTTCTACTGAATTGGATAAGATTTTTTGGCCCAATACACCTAGAGAAATGGTACATTTGGCTCAGAAATAACTAGACTTTTTATTTGTTCCAAATAAATTTTATTTGGCTCAAATATGTTTTATTTATGTCGAATAAAATTTTTATTTAAAAGAAATAAAAAGTCTAGTTGGTTCTGAGACAAATATACGTTTATTTAACTCAAATAAAATATATTTGGTTTAAATAATAATTTTCTCCGGGTGTAGTTTTAATAATTTAGAGAAATTTTTTAGTTTCGAATAATTAAAAAAATTACTTCTGAATTAGATAAGATTTCTTGCCTCAAGAATTTCAATAATTTTTTTAAATTCTTTGGTTTCGAAAATTTCAAAGCTCACTTTCATTATTAGACAAGCTTTTTGGCTCAAGAGATCCACTTCTTATATAAAATTGCTGGATTTCGAATATGTTAAAGATAATTTTCTTTACTAGACAAGATTTCTTGGCTTAAAAAAAATAATTTGAAAAATTGTCTGGTTTTGAATACTTCAAAGTTAAATTTCTTTTTTAGTTAAGATTTCCTAGTGCAAAAAAGTTATTTTAAAGTTTTTTCTTTTGGATAAGATTTTGTTTAGAGGAGAAATAGACAAAAAATTCATATATGTACCTTAATTTCTGATTAAAAGAAAACAAATATTTTTACCGAGTTTTTAAAGATACAAATTTTCGGAGTCATATAGGAAAAGAGAAGTAAAAGCAAATATAAAGGAATATGAAATGTTTTTATTTTATTTTTAAATAATTAACAATTTTAAGGCAGCAAATCACCTTTTTTTATATAAAGTGTTTTTTTTTGTTCTCTTGTGCTTAAAGGCACATAAACAATACACATGTATACTTTAATCATATGTATATTATTCACAAAAAAAGTATTCATTAAAAAGCCACGTATATAATAAAATTCGTACAAAATCATTTGTATAACAAAAACAGAAAAGTACGTCTAACATTGAGTATCTAAGCACTTTCCACAGCGCAAGTCTTGATTTTCTTTTTTTTCATTGACCATTTTCATAAAAATCTAAAAACTACATACACATACATTCTCTGAGTATATACCATCTAATTATCGCATTTTTCTTACACACTAACTATCTACATTCATTTTTTACTTTTTTTCTTTTAAAAACTAATATTGGCCTTCATGAATTGTATTTTGAGGTTTCATTTTTATAAATGTCGCTGACGGTCGTTTTTACAATGCGACCAAAAATTTTATCAAAATATTATCTTTTTTTCGTTTTTATTTTCTTCTATCACAGCGTCTACCACTCGGGCGAATAATGTAAATTAAACAAAAAAAAATTCACAAATTTTCTAAAATGAATTAGAATTTTTAAAAATACAAAATGCAAGATGGTTTTTTGGGTTCAGTGAGAACCTTAAGGCACAGTGTGAAGCCACAATTCGTGTGAAATTTTTTCATTTTTAATATCTAGATCATTTTATTTCTCTAACTCGTTTATCAGAAATTTATTTAGTAACCGGGATTTTGAATTTAAATTTTAAAAATTATAATTACTGTGCAAAACTGATTACTTTTGTCAAATTGATTAGTATATTTTGATATCCATTTGATTTGATAACCTTTTAATCCATTTGATTAGTGATAAATCGTAAGAGAGATAATAATCCCACCGCTGTCACCAAAAAGTTGATAATTTTTTAAGTAATCAGATAGCAATTTAATTCCACATGGGAATTAAAGGAGAATTTATTTTCCAAAATGATCAGCAAGAATATCTACTATTAAATCTATAATTTAAAATGTATTTTATTTTGGAATATAAAAATTTCGGATTTTGGATATCAAAATTAATATCTAACCAACGTCTTCAGTTTGCAAATTTCACACGAGTTCTTTAACCCTAAACTCCCTAATTGTGGTCTTTTGGTTCCAAAGAAGTCGATTTATGTTGACGTATTTTTTTTGACAATTTAGAAATTTTTTAGTACATTTTTACTTTTTTCAATTTTTTTACCACATTTTTCGAGATATCAAAAAACGAAGAAAATGCATCGTATTAAACTTTTTCTTGAATAAATAGAAACGTTTCTTGAACGAAATAATTTTGGGGTAGTTTAGTACCCCAATAACGTCTTTGTTTTGCAGTAACGTCTGAGTTTGCTATATTAGAGAGTCTAGGATTAGCAATTATTGTCTACTGAATCATTTGCAAATAACGATTTTCTTCGAGCAAAGAGCTGAGAGAAGATGTCATGTCATTGACGATCATATTAGCACTTGCTGGAAGAGGCTGCGGTAACGACATGGGATGGGTGGAGCTGGAGACACTTGCTTCATGAACTTGAGCAGTACCAGACCAATTTCTACATTGTTGAACATATTCAAGAGTCCTTCGATATGAATCCTGTCTCATTCCCTGCGGTGGTTTCATTGGAGATCCCTGTTGTGATTGACTGATATCCCTGCATTGAATTTCTTGTGTATTTCCAGACTGATTGTGATAACACTGATCGGCGCCATAATCCCATTGACATCCGTTTGTACAGTTGTAACGCGATGGATCATTAGTTTGCCCATGGCATCCATGAGAGCAGAATTGAACATGACAGTTATTTTCAGAGCAACCTCTTACTTCCTTAGGAGCATTGATTGCCGGTACTGTAAGATTGGAGCGATTTGGATGAGGACAGTTACCGACAATTTGGGGACAGGGAGATGTTTGCATTCGTTGTGGCGATTGAACACTCGTCATTAATGAATCCCGATTCATTGATTGTTTTTGATTGACGAGTCCCGATGGTGAACAGACGGGACCGACTCGATGGCACTGTTCCACAACTGTCATGGGTTGAACTGATGTTGGTGGTTTTGGAATATGTCTGTGCGGTTCGGAAATGTGCATCTGCTGATGGCATTGATCACTGGCGGGCGACATAGCGCATTGATTGTGGACCATGTTGCTAGGGATGGGTCGATGGTTTTGTAGTTGTTGGTCAGGGCAATGGGGTGAGAGAGGTTGGCAAGGTAGTGGACCACCAACTGGTCTGGACATATGTGCCGCTGAACAAGATTGTGGGGTTTGGGTGTGTAATGGAGAACAGGGTTGAGTGTTCATTTGTTGATTGTTGCAGTTGACGTTCGCTTGACCCTGACAGTAGCCTGGATAGAAGGCGTGATCGTTGTTTTGAGTGCAGTTTCTACTTAATTGAGCAGTGTTGTTTTGAAGATTTTGCTGTGCTTGTTGAGGGGGAAGAGCACCAGCCGCTGGGGAGTTAATTGGCTGATCGCTGATGTGGCTCGGTGCATAATGAGATCCTGGCGACATTACTTGAACAGATCCTGGACTAGCGATTTGTGAGGAACAATTTTGAGAGGGGAAATTTTGTGGTGGACAATAGGATTGTTGGGCAATGCGGGAATTTTGACATTGGTTGTAGGAGGAGGTGTTTCCGTAGTCGGAGCAATTTTGTTGTTGATTCGATTGTTGGGACATGTAGCAACGGGATATTTGATGCTGTTGATTGTAATTACAAGTTTGTTGTTGTCGTTGACAATGGAGTGGGTTTGTACAGATTGGAGAACGACAATTCGGTAGGGGACTTCCTCGATAACTGATTTGATTTCCACCCGCTTGGACTTGATTTAGATACTGTAGGAATTCGTCTGGCATGACGAGTTTATTCTCCACCATTTCTCCCTCGCCGACCTCGTCTAGAATTACTTCCTGATTGGGATGCAGTTCTGGTAATTGGGCTGATCTTGGTCTTGGAGGCATGGGTGGCGAGACTCTTTGTCCTAACTGCCTGGCGGGTTCGGACATTCGTCGATCTGCTGACGGTTGTTGAAAGTGACTCGTTGACATCCAGTCACTGGTAATACCCTGAGGACCCTGTAGAAGTATGTGAATGTTAGTTTCATCTAAAAAAATTATTTGCTAGTAAGTAATTAGTTGTTAGTAAGCTGTAAGTATACGAACCTGGAGTGACATGTTCTGGGTTTGGACGACTAAATTGCTGGTGGAGTAGGGTCCTTGAAGATGTACCGCAGGATTCATTCGACTGGAGGCTGTGCTCATTTGACTACTTCTCCTAGAAGTACCGGGACTGATGGGATCATAGAAACTTCCAGGTCCCATGGTTCCAATTCTGCCCATAACACTAACTCCACTAGCCTGGCTACTTCTTCTGCTACTGAAGTCTGTGGATTTCATGCTTCCGTAATAAGTACTGACAGTGCTGTTGCTGTCCCTTCGCGGCTCACTTAGGGGTTGCAGTCTCAATTGCAAGTCAGATAGACTCGTTTGTCTATTGGGTGCGCCCTCCATTTTGAGATCAGTGATTCTCTTGTTTAGGTCACCAATATTTCCCTGGGGTTCCATTAGTCCGCGGCTTCCTCTGATGCCTCCGGATGATATCTGGGAAATTGATGATGGTTTCGAACTCAATCTTCCCTTCAAACGGTTCCTTGAAAGGGGCTGAAGTTGTTGAACCTCGAGACCGCCAACCATAGCCCGAAGAGCGACTGGAAGATCAGCGATGTCCAGATCTTCTGGTTCTTCATTAAACGGCTCTTCGGCAAAGACGACTCCATCGGCGGACACTGGACCGATATTTACTCCATTCGAGTCTTCATTGCAGGTGGCTACGTGAAGAGGACTTCCTTGTTGTTGCATCATACTCGGAGGACTGTTGGCTTCACTTTCAGACTTGATGCTCGGACTCGATAAACTCGGAGTCTTGGGATGAAGATAGTCACTTCTGCTTGGACTGCTCTGACCTCCCATTCCAGGTTCATCACTTCCAGTTCCATCACCACCTCCTCCATTACCACCGCCACCACTTCCACCACCACTCGATCCACTTCCACTCCCGCCCTTGTGCTTCTTGTTCGCATAGAACTCTGCTCCATGAACTGTCTTGACGTGCTTTCGCAGGGATGACGGATCTGTATATCTCTTCGAACAACCTGGTGCCTTACAGACATACGGTTTCTGAAAAAGATTTCATTTTAATTCTCTTTCCGTTTACTACTCCGGGAAATTACATTGAAAGGAATTTCCACTCACCTCATTAGAATGTGTTCTGTTCTGATGTTTGGCTCTATCGCTGGCGTTGCTAAACGCTTTCTGACAATGAGGATATTCACAGGTGTACGGTTTCTCACCGGTATGAGATCGTAAATGCGTCTTTAGGTTCTCTAACCTCGAGTACGCCTTGAAACAGCCTTCGAACTACAAAAGAAGAAGAAGAAATAAGATTTCCAAGTTCAACTCCTAAAATTAATTTTCATCATCTGATACTGATCATCATTGCTGATACTTACAGTACATTTGTGTGGCTTTTCTCCTGTATGCCTTCTCATATGAACAACCAACATGTATTGAGCCTTGAACGGTTTTTCCTTCCTGGAACAATCTTCCCATCCACAAACGAAGCTCTTTTTGTTCGCATGGATATGATCGTTATTGATGTGCTTAACTAGTTCGTCCTGTTGAAATAAATCCACGTTAGAAAACCCCGAAAAGATTATCAGATTTTAATCAGATGTAAAAAAGTTATTTTTCAAAAGAAAAATTCAGCGAATTATGACAATTACCTGCGATGGAAACTCTTGACCACAATCCCTCCAATGACAATTGGTTTCAATAAAATCACCGGGTTCATCACGAAGGTCTTCACTTGGACTGTTACCTTGAGGATGACTTGGAGGTATCGTCGTCGTGGTAGTTGTTGTCGTGGCTGGCTCTTTCTTCACCTTTGTCGATGTCCTTCGACTCGATGTATCAGCCTCAGCGGTGATGGATCTACTCGAGACATCTGATGCTTTTCTACACGAATCCACATTCTGGAAAAAAAAAGTTGAGAAATTATTTGGAATGAAGATTTTAAATTGAAGATTTTATAGAATAAAGATTCAATTAAAATCGGATATAATTCTTAAAAATAGTCTAAATATAGTCTTGTATTATTGGATCGCTTTTTTGGGTAATTTTTCTAAAAGGAGAAATGTTATTGATATTTACAAACTATCGTAAAACATTAAAGAAGTCGAGTTCCCTGATATAGACGTAACTCCGGATACCCGTCTGAACGCGTGCACGTGCAAGTACGTGACTCCCCGCTACGCCCCTGGCAAAGAGCCTTTTTGCATTTTTCTTTCTCTTTTTCTACCCTCCCTCTATCAAGAGACAAACACAGACCCAAGCTTTAGATTTCTCTCTCTCCTTCTTCACTCGCGTGTTTTGTTTTTCCTTCTATAACCCCTCCATCACTTCATTCTCCCTACCATTTCTCATACCTGTGGCGAGCACAACAGTGCACACCATACTGAAAAGTATGCAGAAGCATCCACAACTCTAATGCCAAAAGGAGAGTAAAGGAGCGAAGTACAAGCCGATACAATCGGACTCGAGGCAGAGAGATGAACGAAGAAATAGGGGGTGGGGAGGGATTTACGAAAGGTTCTGAGATAAAAAATGAAAACGCCGCCGCGGATGTAAATAAATCAGGATGAAAAGAAAAAAGGAATTGTATGAAGACTGAAGCGAAATAATGTGCACGAGATTGGTTGTAACCCGAGGACTGTGCATAGTAACCCAATCCGTTTCAAAGAGGACCAAAAAGCAAAGTTCGAAGAACATTTTTTTTCGCAAAAGAATAAGTGAAGCGAAACAGTAGAACTGCAAAAAAAGAGAGAAAAACATGCCAACAGCATTTTGAAACGATTATTCAATATTATTTGTTTGTAATCTTTCTGTTTAGTTAGTCAACACTTGTCTCACTCGTCCACCTGTTTGGATTTATGCTTGTATTTTGCAAACAAGTTTATTTTCCCATCGTCTTAATGTTTTATTGATGCAATAATTTATCTCTTGTTTAATTTTTTGTAATAATTACAATTTCTTATTTTAAACAAAGTTTTGTTTTCTAGACTCTGTAATTGACAAAAATGCGCGCGCATTTTGTGGAAAAACCGTTGACCAATGAAACTTGGGTAAGGGGATGCGCGCGAATTTTCTGCAGGGGTTCTCAATTAGAAATTTATTTAAACTGAACTTAGAGATTTTTTTCAAATACTTACTTCGCTTTTGGTGGGTACTCCTCCAGCGTGGTTTGCGATGGCGGTCGTTCCCGTGGAATGTGGTGACACTGGGAAGAGCTGGGTGTGCGGACTGAGATTATGAGAATGACCATGTGAATGGACGTGGGGATGAGGATGGGAATGTGAATGTGGGTGTGAATGCCCATGGGGATGAGTGGCTTGTGCCGGTGGCGGTGGTGGAGGATGGGGTGGTTGTAAGGGATGAGCGTGTGGCAAAAGAGCCGCGGCAGCAGCGCTTCGCAACAGGTGAGCTTGCAATTGTTGAAGATGCGGTGTCATTCCAGGATGCATTCCCAGAGCTGGACTCATAGCTGCAACAAAAGGAATCAAACTTTACCACCAAATCTTTATTCTCCCTTTTCATTATTATCTTTATCTTTATTCTTTATATATTCGTTTATCATCATGAATAAAAATCATTCCAAAGAACTCGAAAATTAAAAAAAAAATTACAACTTCGGAATATTTGTAAGATTCGAAGAATCGATAAGTATACATGCAGAAGGTGTAATAATAAATTTTTCAATTAATAGTCTTCAAGGAGTCAGCCAACTTCCGGCAAGTGAACAGAATAAGAATTGAATTCTCCCTAAGAAACTTTTTCATACTTCATTTTGGTTGGAGAAAAATAATTTTTTTACCCCCAACGAGAAAATGTTGCACATTTATTTTTGAGACCAAAATAATTTATTTATCCAGAAGGCAGTTAAAATTGTGGAATATTTTTGAACCCGTTTAACAAAATGATGGTACACGCTCGTTACAACTTGTGAATTGAGAATGAAGACTACGGTTAACAAGTCACGCCCTCACGTTCGCCATTTGAATTCTAATTCCTTGATTACATTGATTTCATCGCAAAAGTAAACCTTCTAAAACAAATATGCACTTGGTCAGTTTATAGTTAAGAAATTAATAAAAATCTTGAGTTGTTTTCAAAGTAGTGCATTATTTAAATGAAGTGAAGAAACGTCCTTGAATCACACCTGCTGATCAATTAATGTATTCCTTATTGTTCTGTTATGAAACGATTCCCATCAAGTTCAAGGTCTGAACTGTTTTTTGTTTCTACTCTGCTATGAATTTTGAATAAAAAATTTCCAAATCAAATTTAATTTTCTAAAATGAAAATATGAAAGTTTAAATTTGGAGGAAAATTTTTCTAATTCGGCATTGTCTAATATCTACTTTATCGACTGTACACAGAGTGGAAACTTGGAAAAAGGAAGCTTACCTGCTGAAAGATGTCCATAACTACCGCTTGCGCTGCTACTTCGCGACCCATTAACTATGGACGCTAAACTATTTGGACTGATCCTAATCATACTGTCGATGTCGAAGCGATCCGAATATGGAGAACTACTCAAAGCTCTTTTACGACTCGCCCTTATTGCTGATGCTCGTGGACTTCCCAGTCTTGAACCTGTAAATTAAAGAATTAAATTTTACTTTTCAGAAGTTTGACTTATAATTATTTTTTGATTAACGAATTTTAATTTGTATATTTTCGAATTATAATCTAAACAATAATTGATGCCTAGCGTGACGTCCTTAAACTAGATAAATTGTCATCGAAATGCCACCTAGCGTAGCGTCCTGGAACTCCAAATTCCAAGAAATTGTCGCTTCAACGCCGCCAAGCTTTCCAGCTTTCAAATATTGAATTTTTCTATCAATTCCCACAACTTCAAAAATTGTCAATCTCTCAACAATACGAGAACTCGTAATCAAATCTCGTTATTCTTCCCCCCTCATCAGAGAATTGAAAATTGAATAAGACCTGTGACCTAAACGTTTTAACAGCAATTTGCCATTGACCGCAGGTAACCGACGTAATACAGGAACCATCGTACTCGTTTTCTTAAGTTCACCACACAATCTGAAGCACTCTCATATTGCAGAATGAAAAGAGTACTCAAATTGAGAATAATCCCCGCTTTAAGAACACATATGGCTGGTAGAAATAATTGTCCTTTTTTTCCCTTTTGCACATATAAGCGAACACGGAGAAGTGCCTGTTCGCGTTTTAACCGAGGAACTTCTTCGTTCTCAGTTTTCACCCGGCTGACCACACCATCAAGAGGACGCAAACAGTATAGAGTTACTCACATCAGTGAGTTCTCCTTTACTTTGAAAGAATTTGTTCTTTTTTCTTTTATCATCATCATCGAACCTATTACTTGGCCAATGGCCGCTTAACCAATTCGTTGAGCGATCAAATTTGCTGTGGTCACTCCAAAAAACGAGCGGCAACCTTTTAACACCGCAAAAATTTTCGAGACTTGACTTTTATTATAATAAAGAAGAATACGAAGAAGAAGGGTGATAAGTCTGGGTTAAAAAACATTGTGTGGTAAACCGCACCCAAGTTTACCACATTTTCTCTTTTTGATTTAACGGGTATTACTTTGTTGTACATAAGACGTCAATTATCCAATTTGTAACTTGGTATTTAATGTTTATGAATTTTTTATTTTATTAGAAGAGTAGAAAAAAGTCCATAAAGTATTTAAAATCTTTTAACTGTAATTCCCTTGTGTCTTTAAATGACTGTCGAAGGATTGCACTCAACGCCTTGTTCTTGAGTCTCGATCCCGTTCTGTTTTTCTCAAACCGAACATAAGATTGAGACATGTAAATTGGTACCTACGATCGGTTGCTTCGATCGTCTCGAAGCGTGCTACTCCGGGTGCATTCCAAAGATGTATAGGCTCATTCAAAAGTAAGGAAAAATTCCCTTGACTAAAATTTAGGGATAATTTTCTTTTCTGACGATTTTTGACTGAATTCAAAAGAGGGAATAATTGGAAAGAATTTAATCATGGAGAAAAATTGGGGAAGGGAATTTAGAAGGGGTATTTGGGTGGCAAGAAAGGCAAATCTACTGACGATGAAATGTGAGACAACCTGTAGGGTAGGCGTTAAGGTGTTAATGAGGTCGTGTCGCTCCGAGTCGATTCAATTATGCGGCAGTGGTACCGGCTAACGAGCTGCCCCGTCTAACCCTTCCTTCGTAATCGTCTCTTGTAGCTACTGCAACAACTACCTCTCTCTCCCTTTTCATCCGTATCTCAGTCTCTCTTTCATGTCCCTCGGTCCAACCTTGCTCTGTTCTCACCATTTTCTTTAGATATCTATCGATGTCTGTCCTCTTTGTCTCTTATATTTCACTCTAATACCTTATATTCAACATCCGTTTTCACGATTCGAAACAATCGTTCAAACTCCAAAAAGAGAATTCTATATACTTATTGAAAAAATCAACTTGTAGAAAACTTACCATCAATGGAAAATGGAAATTCCGATGAAGCAATTGTGCTACCAGGACCAGCAGCGTGCAAAAGGTATTCCGGTCCCAGACCACCCAGTCCTGAAAAGAAATTTTAATTATTGTTTGTCATTTCAATGTTTCCGGGTATAACACTTTTTTTACAGGAGACAATAAGTGAGTGCGGAAAAAAAATTGAATTGACAAATCAGAACGTAATTCTAGAGGATAAACACGTGGTTCAATGGAAATTATCGATAGGACCAAAAGAAAAAAAACATCCGCCGGAAATGCGGGCACTCTTTGACGATGCTTCTTTTTACAAAGCATACGAGCATCCGCCCGTATGAATAGCCATCTAGGCACACCAGGACAGTGAATTGAGTGTACGCGGAAGTTTTAAGATTCAGATGAAAATTGGGGCCGATGGCAAAAAGTTTGAGCATTCTTGTCTAGTAAAATCATTACCCAAGTATTTCCGGATGGGCAAAAGTTTTTGCTACATAAATCCAAGGATTTCAATCTACCTAGTCACCATTTTTTTGTAATATGGACAATACCTTGTTTTTAATTCTTTCGGTATTTTGGAATTTGTCAGTTTGAATCGGACTAAGAAAATGATCTCCGATTGTTGGCTAAAAGATTTTTAACAGCAATGGATTTTACAGGATACCTAAAAGATGACCTGTTCGTATCCGGAAATTAGGATATCTATTGGATGCCCTTAAGATATCTCAAGATGTTCCAAGGACAACCTACTGATAACCTGAATATCTGGATGCTATTAAGGATGTTAAGAATATCCCTGGGAGTGATATCCGAACTGCCGCAAGCAAATGGACAAACCAAGAACGCCCCAAGGTTATCCGGAAATATCCACTACTTGAGGATTAGTTAATATTTAATTATTTGCTCAAATTGTTTGAAATAGTTGGTCAATTACCGTGTAAGGAGGCGTTGGGACTGTGCGTGGACGCTTGGAGCTGGTGATAAAGGTGGTCCATGTAGTTGAGCCGATAGGCTGGATGGAGAGCCGTGTGCTCCGATAGGGGGTGACTTCTACGCAAGAAATCCCCACTCGAAGTCGTATTTCCAGTGGCCCCTTCACCACCTCCTCCACCCCCACCGCCACTACCTGGCCCGCCACTGTCTCCGCCGTTTCCGCCACCTCCAGTGTTACCACCCCCGTTACCACCTCCAGGACTTCCTAGTGCCGTGGTACTTCCGGACAATCTGCAAAAATACAAAAGAGACGCATGGTTAGAAATTTGTTGTCCCACTTGTTCAATTTAAAATGTAGGACATGATTAAATTGCAATTATTACAATTATAATAAATTAACTGTAATTAATTAATACCCTAACAGCATTGGGTTAACAAGGGACCCTAACAACATTTTATTATCATCTGTGGGAGGTTCTAGGGATATTTTTTCATCAGGTGGTTTGGGAATCTCTGGGCTGTCCCAGGGACATTCGCGAATGTCTACGCGTATACATATTTTGAACAGCCGCATCATGGAAATTTTCAAACCGTTAGTTAAAAAAAATTTCTTGGATTAAGTATATTCTTTGGAATATTCATATCAAATGGCAAGCAAAAATGGTTATCCCCAGGACATCCCTGTTAGGGTTCCAACCAATAGTGTTGCTACCATCACTTATTATTCCTACTCTTCACGAGAGCAGGAACCAATAAGTCATCCTAAATCCTTCCTTCTCAACGTAAATCTTCCTTGTCTTTAAATCTATAAATAGCCATCCTACTTGCTCTGCAACCAAATCATCAAAAAAATCACCAGACCATTTAAGAGAATAATAAAAAGATCTCTTCATTCATAAAAAAACAGATGATCTTTCTTCATGCACTGGAGAAAAATTCCACAAAATCAAGTTTAAAAATAAAACCCCAGACATCAGTAGCGTAAGAAATTGACAATTTTTTTGTTGGATAAAAACCACATGGGGTCTGTATTTTCTTTCCCCTAAAAAAAAACACTGGCGCCGTCCTTCAAGGACGGGGTCAGGTTTTTATTCCCGGAAAGGGAGAACGTACACTACCGGAAATGCAATTCTGGTTTTGTTCTTTCTCCTCCGACAGGTCACATATAAAAACAAGTAATACTGATTTTAAGAGTGTATTAATGAAAAGTTGTCCCTTTCACCGAGATCGTCCCACATGTGATTGAGAGACAGTGCGTGTCATTTTAACAAAAGAAGCTCCTTAGGTGTAAAACGATTGGGGAGGATTAACATGAAATTTAAATGGGGAAAGATAAACGGCATAATTACAAGGAAAAACATCGTCAAGTTTGTTGGTCACGGCTCATGGTGTTTTTTTTCTTCTTCTTTAGCATGAAAGAGAAGAGTTTTGTGCCGATTCTATTTTGAATTCTGTCGAGTGCCAGATGACTTGTATGGCGCTTCTTGATTCTTCCTCTCTCACATCAGTTAGGTGCCTCCTACATTCAGTTACTCTTCTCTCTCTCTCTCTCTCTCTCTTTTCTGTTTCATCTTTGCAATTCTTTACGCCCATGGCAACGCGCGCGTGTCTCTATCTTCTTATTCGAACCGGAGGCTGTGAACGACGGACAAGATTCAAGTCGTTAACACGACACGCCGGAAACCGACACATATCTATCTTTATCTATTACTTTATTTGTCCTCCCCTCGCATTTGCAAATCCCACGATACTTTTGCCAATAATTTCTTCACTTCCTATTCCACTTGGTGATTTAATGAAGCAAGTGAACCAATTTAGTGTAACCATCGCATCATGATGATGTTATAATGCAAATTTATCGTTCTAATGAAAAATTCAAATTCGAAGAAATTTTGGGTAAATGAAATGTGTACAAGACGAATGTTCACGCGGTTATTTATTGCCGTAAGTCTCGCTGAAACGTGGCGCACTAGCATGCTAAAAGATGAGGGAGGGAAAAACATATGGTGCGGTGAATTTTAAACTCCAAAAGATCAAGAAAGAGAAAAGGAAAGGGGGAGGAGTGGAAAGATGAAGCGACCAGGAAGAATAAAGACTGATGAGGGATGCTGGAAGACAGAAATATGAGAATTTGGTCAAATTTTCCCTCTCAACTGTCCTCAACTTTTTTTATACCATTTACAATCGTTAATGGATATTCCTCAAGTTTTTTATACTTTTGACAATGGTGTTGAAATTATTCCATTTGAAACAAGAAATTTAATTTTTTCTGAATAATAATAATGTAATTTCTTTTAGTCCAGATTGTGAATCATTTGGACTGTAAATTTTGGGGTTCTTTGGTCGTATAACGTTATATATAGCGCGACGGCAGACGCATCGTTTCGTAGACTTTACACGCAAAGTAGTTTTGAAACGGAGATGAGCATGTTGCTTTGATCGCGTGGCTTGACAAGCATTACGATATGTGACCATCATGAACCTTAGCGGAAAAATCAAAGGCGAGGGAAAAGAAACACGACTATTTCAAACAAGAAAAGTTAACTAACGGAGGAAAATTCAAAAAACTGTTTGAAGACTATTTTTCTAAGCTTTTTGAACTCTATTCACTATTTTTTACTGTTTATTTCCAAATAAGGGTACTTTGTTTTATTTCTTCCATAATAGCACCGAATCCTTCCGGATATTCTTGAGACGTCGAGGAGATATCAATTTGCCAATGGCGGTTTGAATATTCCTGGGCTGTCCGTGGACATCTGAACAGCAGAAGAAAAATTGACATTCCTTTATGCTTCATCATTATTACTTTTTTCACTCTCTAGATACATTAGGATATCCCTGGGACGTCCTGAAGATATCCATTTGCCTGAGGCAGTTTAAATATTCCCGGAATGTCCATGGACAACCGAACCGCAGAAAAAAAAATCTTTCTTTCTTAATATTTATTTTTTCACTCTCCAGATAGTTGGATATCCCTAGGACGTCCTGGAGATATTCATTTTCTAGCGGCGGTTTGAATATCCCCGAGATGCACATATATTCCTCAGCTGTCCATCGCCATCCAAACTTCAGAAAAGAAATCCCTTTTTCTCATTATTTCCTTTTTCACTTACCACTCACAAATTTGTATCTTCGTTAAAAATACAATTTCCTCTCACAGGAGAAATGAAAAAGGAATAATTCAGGTGAAGCATTCAATAGAATAAATAAATTAGATCCCGTAAGAGTGAAGAAATTTTTTTTTTTGAAGTGTTTTGGTGATAAAACGAAGGTATATAAGGCGCAGCACCCATGTATGTATATGTATATATAGTGAAAGAGAAGGAATTTTTTAAAGGCGTCATTAAAACGGAGACACAGGTCGGTGGAATCGTTTGTACGGTTACCTGTCTCCTTAATGAAGATATTTACACGCCTGTTCAGTCGCGCCCGCAGGAAACGCGCATTTTCGAAAGGTTCTCTCTTATATGCTTCGTTTTAAAAGTCTTTGCGTCGTTGGACTAGACTTTATTACCATTCATTGGACCTTGTGTGACATATATGATAAGTTCCAATATACATAAAGTTCTACAGCCAACAGACAATTTGAAAGTTAGGTCACACAACTCAACTCGACAAGTTTTTTTTTCTTGTTCCTTATGTTTTTTTTTTTTTGCTTTATAATGATCTCGGAATTTAAATAAAATTATCGTAAAGTATAAACTTTTGGTTATTAATCACCTATGTAGCGACAAAAACTAATCTCGTGTCACCAATTCGATATTCGAATTAAAATACTAATTTCGGAATTATAATAAGTTTTCGATAATTTTTTCATATTTTAGTTTATATTTCTATTTTTTATTTATTCTATATTTTACAAATAATTTCGAATTTGTCCACTTTGGTTATTCGATTTTTATTTGTCCACTTTGATAATGTTTGGTGACGTGTTTCCAACTCTCGCCGCTATGTTCGATTTGGCGCTTCATGACATAATCGAAGTCAATTTTTCATTTTCACTATATATTAAACTGCGTCTAATGTGTTGGGGACGATGTGAAAAATTGCTTACTGATTAATAAACATAAATTTTTCAACTCTGGGAACTCGTGATGAAAGTTTATCGTGAACACAGCGGGTGTCTGACTGGAAGCAATTGAATATAATTATCACTGCGTTGATCATTAAATGTTAGGGGGTCAGACATGAACGGCTAACAAGTAGAACGACCATTGAGATTGTAAATAATTACAAAATGCATTTAATCTCGCTTATTATAACAGCCAACATTGTAATACAAAAAAGGGCGGAGATTTCAGAAAATCAAATTTGTAAAACGAATCGTACAATTATTGTTATTAAATGGAAAATTAAAATAGCCCCAGGGTACTTGGCACGCGACTAATTATCTTATTTTTAACTTCTATATATGCTTACACAAAAGTAATTACCGCACATTCGTTACGGTATGATTCACTTGATGATATTTTAATCAGTTTGAAAATCATTCATTTTGCAGGAATCGTGAATGAATAAAATTACTTTATTAAAGACCGGTAGTTCTAATTATTGACTGTTTTCTAAACAATGATTTGTTTAGGAAATTACTATTTTTTGAAATTTTGAACTTTTTTAGAATTTTGATATTTGGAGGTTTGTCAAAAGAGGGATTTATGCACTTTGGAGAAGGAGGAATTTTGATTTGTCACCGTCAGACAAAATCGAGTTACGTATGTACTTTCGCGCTTACCAGGAGGCTCCGTAAGCAATCTCCAGGGCCAATCTCGTCTCCGCCCGTCGGTTCGTTCGTCCGCTAACTCTCTTTCTCGGTTTTAATGTCTTCATCGAATCTTGGCTTGCTCGAAGCCTGAGTTGGAAGTGTGTAGGTATATACATATGTGTATAGTGAGTGAGAAAAGAGGTATACGAAAAAGGATCGGCTCCTTTTCCTTCCAACCATCACTACAAATCTTTTTCGAGAAACATTTTACTCATGACAACAAGTTAAATTTGCAGACTTTTAATTTCACATATCCTGCTGTGTATGACGAGGGAATTTTAATATACATTTGCACCGTAAAACCTGTCGTCTCTGCGCGATCAACGATTTCACGACTACGAAATTATATCAATAAAATAGTTTTTAATGGAAAATAAATTTCACATGAAATGGAATTAAATCGTATCTAATATTCCAGTTCTTTGCATTTACATTTAGTAACTTTTTTGACATTTAACGTTAGGTGAACAGAATTGGAGAGGTGTACAAAGTTTTACTATCAGCGCCACACTGCGGACTTCTTCAGTAT